ATGTTTGTTTTTTTTTTTTGTTATCAAAACACAATAAAATCTTTTTGTAATAAAGTAAAACCTGATTGTTTAACCACAGGATGGAGAATTTTGTATAGTTTTTCTAATGCCAAACTTCTTCACAGAATAGTAGTCTCTAAATATAAGTGGTGGGTGGGTGGATGGCGGTCGCATGCGACCTCCCGGGATTTTCCTCCGGGGATTTGAAGCTTGAAGAGTTAAAAGTAGGGAGTCATTCGATATTCATAAGTAACCTAACAAAAATGTTGATATAAGTATTAAGATTTCTTGAGAAAAGGGTCTGACTTGGCCCAGGTAATCGATTTACAAAATATAGCCCCGCATAATAGCAATCACCAAAAAAATCCTCAACCAATTTTATAAACTAACAGTTTCTTACACACATAAATACATTATAAAACTATCGCTCGGTGACAGCGCCAACCCATATCAGTTGATCGACCGATCTGTATATAGTATGAGGGCAAGCGGCCTGTATTATTAGTAAACAAATCCCAAACAACACGACCGTTATTACTGTAAATTTTAAGTTTATAAAAAAGTAAATATCAGTAATGTAATTAAAATTATAAAAGGTAGCGCCATATTTTAGTAAATTTGAAAAATACCGGAATAATTCGGCTTTTTGTATTACGTCGAATCGGCCGCGAAACTATATTATAAAACATACTTTAGTAAGCAGTGCAGCCGCATCTAGTTTTATTGTACAGGACCGCGTAAACCTGTACTTTTACAGAGGGAAACGCCTGCGTATAGCTACTCCTCCTCCTCTCTCCTGTCGTTAAAATATAAATAAGCAAACTTAATATTTTTACATATTTCTCGGAGATTTCATCACAGGGTTAATTGTTAAAAATAATAATAGTGTCAGAGAGGATGTTCAACTTGCTCTCCTGCACACACAATTAATATATATCAGCAATATAAACATCGTACTGCTCTATACATTTACTATGGAACAATTACAGTTCGACAATACCGTAATATGTCTCAGTAACGATAACACAGTAGTGTGACTTGAATGACGTAACATCCTAATTTCAATAGAGAAGGAGGCGTGGTACTACCACCTGCTTGGGATCCTATAATTAATAAAAATAAAACTAAACCCAAGCATACCACTGCAAGACTTCAAAACACAGTTAGTTCATTCTGCGTACATCGGACCAAAAACAATAATTAAAAAGCTGAAGGTACTCCGGGTTAACTTTGACATCGGGACGTCAGTCACCTCAGTCCCCCGTGACCATGGTTACTGGAAAGCACCCGAAACGTCGGGTATTAAAAATAAATAAAACGCGATAAAATCCGTAAAAGTAGTTTTAATCAATGTATAGTGTTCGCGTAAATATAAGAAATCATAACGCAATGACACTGTTATAATCAGGCTAAGCATTAGGTCTTTTTTTAAATAAATACGAATTATAATTATGTAAGGTCTGTTTAAATTCTATACGTAATGCATTAATATTAAAACTTTCGTCGAGAAAAAGTTCCGACGCGGCAGACGTAGATTTGCTACTGACAGATCCACAGTGCACTCGAGACGCCGGGTCACCTTGACGGCAGTGCGTGTATAGAAGGATTAGGTTATGAATGGTTGTAAAAACTTATTTTTAAACAGCTTGGAAGCTACCACTTAATTATATAATATTTAGTATTGTGAGAGGGGATGAGATCAAAAATTCCATGGCTCATGTTCAGCCGTAAACTTGTGAAAGGTGGTATCAGCTCCTGTCGGATTGATGATTAAAATCTACTGTTGTTACACACACACACACACACACACACATAGAGAGAGAGAGAGAGAGAGAGAGAGAGAGACCTAAGAATTTAACTTAATTCATAATTGAAACTCGGATCAAAATTTTTTTCGCAAAGAAAATATTTAAGTGACTACCTTTTGTACACGCAAGAGAATTCTCTTATTAGATTTCGATCCCGGCGAAGATTTACATAATATTGCCTAATATTAACGAAGTTTTCTTTTATCAAAAATTTATAAAAAATGAAGCAACATAATATTTAATATATTTTATGTGCATAAAGTAGAATAATTAATATTGCTTTTCATCATCATCTTCATCATTACTGTCCTTCCCAAGCTCACTGATGAACACTGTCTCACGCAAGATATGCCACAAAACAAGATCCTGAGTCACCTGAAGCCATCGACTTCTTCCATTCACTTTCAACTACGCGACCAACCCGGGATCGATCCCCACCAGCACCAAAAAAATTGTTAATTGCAATTTTAAGCGCTGTTTTACCAAGTGCTCAGCGGTGAACGAAAACATCGTGAGGAAACCTACATGTCTAAGTCATAAGAAAAAAATATTTCGAAAACACGTGAAGATAGCCAAAACGCATTGAGGCTGCGCAGCAGACATTTCCTTACCCTAAAATACTCTCGGAAATAAGAGAAGGTCTGCGCCTAACTGTGGGACGTACGTAAGCTGTAAATTCAATAGTAGTAAAAGATAAAAACGAGTACACAGTGCATCTTAACTAAATTGGATGCTGTAACCTGTGGACACCAACATCGTTTAAAAATTAAATAGATGCAATGCTAAGGAATATGTTGGAATGCCACGTTACCAGTAAAAACGGCAACTCGTTCTTGTCAATAATCACAGCTGCATTGCGTTACTATTTAACGCTGGTGTTCTGCGTTAGCATGGTTCTCCCGCGATCGAGTCAACCAATTGATATTACTGTCATCATACTACAACGTGGCTCTACTACGTACTACGTAGAATGAACAAGAATGGTAAAGCAAGCAGATTAAAAATAAGTTGTAGACAAAGAAACGACAAAAGTACATGTTACTTATCGAACCGTATATATAGAATGATAAGAGCAGAAATTTCTCAAAACGTGGCGTTAGTATATGAACATACTATTATACGTTATACACTCGACTGTCGGGGTCATTTTGGCCAATATGGCGCATCTGTCGAACACTTTCCGAAGTACTAAGTAAGTATATAACAGGTATACTAAGATATATATATATATATATATATATATATATATATATATATATATATACTGAGTAAGTATATTAAAATCATATATCAATGAAAAAGTTATTAAATAAGCTATCAGATTACGCATAACGGATATATATGTATATTATATATATCATATATATGTTACAAAGAGTTTGCTATCACTCGACGCCATATTATGGCGTTTGACAGATGTGCATATTATTTGTGACGCCAGAATATGGCGTTTGAACAGACGAGGGGGTAAGAAAAGGGTTGGGCGGCCAATAGATGTAGTGACGACCTGATGTCTCTCATCGGGAAGGCGGTGGATGCTGTTGGTGTAGGACAGTATTTTGTGGTACTCCTTGAGGGAGACCCATGTTCTGCAGTTGACTTGTGATGGGCTGTATAAGGTGATGATAACGTCCCCGTTATTTATAAATAAAACCTAAAACTACATTGTTTTTACGACTGATTCGAATGATACTTAATGAAAAATACCAAATTAATGCTTTGCTTTATGAAAATACATAATATTATTACTGATTAAAATAATGTGCTTAGTGCAACATGTACGAAACAAAAAAATATTTTATATATATACACATTATGTAGTTACTAGAGTTTAATAAGTGTAAACTACAATTATTTATAACGAGTGTAATCAGCGAACCGAACGAACAAAGAAAGACCGAGCAGATGCTCTTTTAAATTTTAACGGTTTCCTTTTCTTTGCCCATACTAGTTCTTTAACGAGAAATATTTTATGCATCATTCATTATTAGTACATGCATTCATTCATTCTTGCAACCTATTTTTATAACGCAAACGCATCCGTGTTTTTTTAGGGTTTCTAACTATATAACACTTCTTTGCTTTGCTTCTAATAATTCTTTTTAACAGTTTGAATGGATAAAATAATCTAAAGTGTTAGAAGTAAAACACAAAGGTAACATAACGAAAAACAATTACTTACATAGGTACCACTATTATCATAGTTTCGTATTCAATGAGCATTTGTGAGGTAAATTCTCTTTCAGTAGGAATAACTTATAAAATTAGCCGCTTTAGTATCAGGACCCTCGAACCATAGATGCTTACTGTCATCGTCAATTTGAATATTTAATCCGCTTATTCTATTTACAGTATGATAAATTATCTTGTTTTTCAATAATTCTTTGGATATTTTCTACGAGTAATCACTAGTTCGACATGTCTCTCCGTCTGTCTAAAGTATAGAATTTTTAATAAAAAATAATCGTTTATTTCTAATTACTATGGCTAAAATGACATCATTCTGATTCTAATATACACTTAATTCTCTAATGATTGCCCATTGTAAGAAAGTGGAACCTATACCAGGATACCCTATAATGATTTCTTAAATTTACGCGAACACTACACATTGAGTAAAATTATATATACGGAACCTATCGCGTTTAATTTACTTATTTTAACTTATTCTTAATTAGCGACGTTTATAGCGGTTTCAGACTAACGTATTTTTTTGCGCGTATACGGTTGTTTCAGAATACGCGCTTATACGCGCGCTACATTACGCGCTTCTAAAAACCATCCTCGCGTAAACGGGCATATTTTGGCGTGTTCGCTCGTACCGGTGGTGTCGTGTCAATATCAACATGGATTCTGACGAAGAAACATTACTATTTGCGTTACTTATTCGCCGTCGACTGAGACGACGAAAAAAATGCTAGGTGTCAGAGTTGCATCAAGACTGATGACCGGTCACTTTAATACACTTTACCCAGAACTGCGAAGTGATTCTAACCGATTCAAAAATTACTTTGGAATGTCTTTGAGCACTTTTTATGTATTGTTAAATATATTAAAATCACAGTTAGAGCATAAAGATACTGTGTTAAGGAAAAGCATATCTGCTTAAGAGAGGCTTGCGATCAATATAAGGTGAGTATTAAAAGTCAAATGTTTACGTTTACAAAATTTATTTACGAAATTAGTTATTATTTATGAACAAATCTTGAAAATTTCTTCACCATACTCCGGGAACTGGTGCTCTGAATTTCTATGAATGTTGGAAGTAGTAGAAGTAGATGGCAATGGAGTAGACGAACCAGGTGGGGCAAAGCTTGCGATTGATGTCGAATTTGAATACTGACTACTCATAGAAGTAGCTCTTGTTCGATAACCGTATTCTGAATATGACTTAATTATTATAAAAACTCAAATTTACTACTCGGATCCATATTTTTAAAATCTGGCAATAATGATAACAAAAATGGTTTGTCCGGATCATAATTGTCTGCTGTTTCCATATTTCTTTTCTTTTTATTTATAATTTATCTGTAAGATTTGAAAAATTCATTTTTTCTTTCAGAACTATTTAAAAAATATCTGAAGCATCATTACTATCAGCGTTATCATTAATGCCATCTTCAATGTTTACAATTTCGTCGTCTGTGTTTTCTTGTTCGTCTTTTTTAGGTTTTGTTTCATACAGTGGTTTCAAAAACAATAGATTATTGAAATAGGCGTAAGGCTTTGAGTTTTTGGCTCCAGAACCGCTTTTTAAATGATTCTTCTTCAGTTCTCGTGAGAATGCATTTCTGATGATTTTCCATTTTTTCTGAATAGTAGTGCCTGAAACAAGTATTTTAATAAATGTATAAATTAAATATAACATAGAAGTTGTTGCAGGTTTCTAGCATCGGGATGCACATTTACCGAGCTGCATTATTCATACAAATGTGGGATTTCTACAGTATCAAGCATTGTGCGGGAAGCTTGTTTAACAATATGGAATTCTTTGAAATTTATATACATGCCACCAACATCTGAAGAAGAATGGTTGAAAATTGCGAAAGGCTTCAATAGTACCACAAACTTTCCTAATCATCTAGGTGCTAACGATGGCAAACATATAGAAGTATTTCAGCCGGCTCACAGTGGCTCACTTTATTTTAATTGTAAGCATTATTTTTCTCTTGTGCTATTAGCAGTTTGCGATTCAGATTTTAATTTTATTTTCATTGACGTGGGTTCTTACGGAAAAAGTGCAGATTCGCAAATATACAAAAATAGTACACTATACAAAATGATTAATGAAAAGTCATTGAATATTCCTAAACCCAGACCCTTACATAGTTCAGGCGAGCCATTGCCGTTCACATTCATTGGCGATGAGGCTTTTGGGTTGGAAGAAAATATGTAAAGACCATATAGTGGCAACAATTTGTCACCAAAACAAAGAATTTACAATTACAGACTATCTAGAGCTCGCCGCCATATCGAATGTGCATTTGGGATTCTGGCTAACACATGGAGGATCCTCCACCGACCACTAAATATGTCAATTGATTTGTGCGAAGATATTGTAAAATCTTGTTGTGTCTTACATAATTTTGTTCGACAAAGAGAGAATAATTATATTTCACCGACAACAAATGGCACTCAAGATACTGTAGGTAACCTAACACCAAGCACAAGAAATAAAGCGGCATATGATATCCGCGACAATTTTGCTGACTACTTTGTGAGTGATGCAGGGGCACTTCCATGGCATTCAAAATATGCATAATAAAAGATATAAAATAAAATTTAAAAGTTTTTTATTTGTTACTGTTGGTATAATGTACAGTAAAATCATCAATCAACATACCTATTAGACATTTTTCTGCACTTGTTTTCTCTTCAAAGTTTGGTTCCAACGCTGCAGATAGTTCCTCCCAAGCATTTCGTTTTATTATTCTATTAGAATATTCCTTGGTCCTACTATCCCATATTGCTGGGCGTGATTCAATTTCAAAAATAAGACGTTCAACAGTATATGACATTGTAAAACGTAATCCACTGCTAAAATGTATATCCACTGAAATGTGAAGTTGTCAACTGAGTCACGTGCGTGCGTGGTCTCCGGCAGAGGGGGAAATAGGCGCGCGGGGAGGTTTCTCTCGCAGCTTGCACTTATACGAGCTTAGAAGCCATAGACAAACACTATATACCAGGAATAGATGCGCCACTAACATTTCAGTTTTCGATTGAGTGTACCGTGTTCGCTAGATGGCGCTGTATTCTTTTAGTACATCGCGGCTTGCGGTAGTTACCACTAGATGGCGTATTTTGTCAATGACTATATTGATATTTATGAAATAAGCAGTTTATTATCAATGTTTATGTATGCATTCTACCAGATAATTATTGAATATCTACAATAATTATCTAAAATCTCCAAATAGTAATTTTGTAGATAACATTAACACTAATAAAACTTAGCCTATTTCACAAAATATTTTTGTAATATTAATATGAAAGACGGAAAGTAATTTTAATTATTTATTTTTTTTCTTTTATGAATTTTATAATATTTGAAAGCTTGAGCTTTAACATTATCATTTTCACAATCGGTACTTAATAATTTTCCCTTTAGCAGCCTATTAACATTGGTGCACCAACTGTGAACAACCACATTTATTATTAAATTTAACAAATAATCATAAAGCCTCTTATTATGATTTTCGCAGGAGAGGAACGAAAAGTTGCAAAATATTTTAGTTTTCTGAATTATCCTATCCTTAATATTCTTTATTTGTGGTTCTTCAATCAATTGCGTTTGGATTATAAGGTAAACTTCATCTGTAAATGAACACAACGCCTCTGATGGATATTTACATGACTTTTTTGTATAGTCCCTTTCTAAAATATAATCATATTGGGTCGGAGGTGTTGTACTTAACAATTGCATTTTACACACGTTACAATTTTTACATATATTTTTTATACACTTATGCACTAAATATCCAGCAACATAACGTTTAGCTTCCTTAGTAGTTAAATTGATGGGTTCTGAATTCTCATTTTGTCCAAACAAATTTATTAAAGAATCCACATTTATATTTGCATCTGGTTTCTCTCCTGTTTCTATTTTTTGCGAATTAATTAAACATTTTAGTGGCTTTAATATTTTGTTATTGTCACGTTCACAGTTTGCACTAATTGAATGAGGGGAAGTTAAATTATTCACTAACAAAGTTTTATATGCTCCAGTAAATTGGCAGCATGTTGGTGATACATTTCGAATCCCATTGCTCCTGATACTGGAAAAGAAATTTTCCAGTGGATCCTAGTTCAGGTTTCTCATTAATAAGCTGCTTACACTGTGTTTAGCGTTTAAATAAGAAAACATTTCTTTTACTACATGGATATTATGTATCCAGTTTTGAATTGATGGAACCTTTACAAATTTTGTAGCCCCATCTTTATTTACTTCATAACCCATAGAGTTCAGTATAGGTAAAGCTTCATCCCAGAGCTTAAAATGCAGAGAGTTTTTTCTCAATGCTGCTTTGTATAGTTTTGCACTATCTTGGTAACAATGACCATTGAAAGAGTCAAATAACTTATCAACTAGTAGCAGCAGATCAGCAGTTGCGAGACATTCTTTTGGCAATAGATTATGATCTGAAAAAGAAAACATTATTAATTATTAAAAATTTAAAGATTTTTACTATTTCCTATTATAATGTGAAGCTGTAGTGGCAATGAATTAGTCATATAGCTCGAAGAACCGACGACCGATGGGGACGAAAGGTTCTCGAGTGGCAGCCTTGTATTGGTAATGTAGAGCGGCCCCGAACTAGATGGAGTGACGACCTAGTAAGATATACAGGAAGTCGATGTATGCTGATAGCTTAAGACCGTACTTTGTTACTGAAGGGCTGTGATGACGATGATGATTAATATCCATACTAGTATTATAAATGTGTCTTTATATCTGCCTGTTAAATTTTCATGGCCATCCAATTGAACGATTTTGGCGAAATTTGGTACAAAGATAGGTTCTGTAAACAGATAGAATTTTTTTTGACAGAAAACCAGAGAGCTCTCTGAATTTTAAAAATCTAAATCCACACAGATGAAATCGCTGGTATCATTTAAGTACAGAAATAAAAATACAAACTTGCTAAGAAGCGTAAAGATGCAGATACCCGTTGGCTGAAAACTTGAGCTGCATATTTCACTTTCATTTTAGGAACTTTGTCCTTATTGACGTGCATCTCCGTTAATTTGTTCACCAAGCGAATGTCATGTTCTCCCACATCAATGTCAAGTAACATTCGTAAATGATTCCATTGTGCAACCTTTGTTTCTTCGTTTTGGGTGTATTTTAAATTTTTGGTCATTAGGTTGTTTCTTAACCCTTGAGTACATGTGGAGGATCAAAAATTGGAAAGATTTTGCTGTCATCAATTTCAAAAGCCAAACTTTTCCATTCAGTGCCATTATGAAGGTATTTTTCTTTTGTTTCATTAAGAAGATTTTTTATAACTTTCATATTTGTTGGGGATTGGTCACAGATTGTAGACACAATTTTTAAGCCAGTGCTGTTGACTTGTGCTATTACTTCTTTGATTATTTTTTTTAATTCTACACTGTTTATTGTACTCTGGCAGAATGTAAAGCAAATCGGTTGTTTAAATTTTCCCTTAAGACTTTTCAGCATAAATACTAATGCATGATCAGCAATTTTTGAGGTCCTATGTCCCCCAAAATCTTCAAAACCAATAATTTCATCCAGGGATTTTTGATAATAAAGTCCCGGAGTCAATGCCACCTCATCAAAAATTAATGTACACAGCTTTTTTTCATCAGGCAACTTTTTCACAGTTTTAGCTATTTGTTTCATTATGGTCTCGTTTATGCCTGTAGTTAAAGAGATGCTGCTTAACATTTTTTGCATGGTTCTTTTAGAAGGCTAACCAAAAATCCTTTGCAAGAAGTTATATGTTTTTTGACTTTGCTTGTATATAGTCAAACATAAAATTTTCTCTTTCATGCTGAATCTCCTACCTCTTGGCATTTTTGATGACTTTTTTAAGTTGCATATTTACCAATATTGCAGCTGGTTCAGAAAGATTTTCTACAACATTTAAAAATGCCTGACTCTGTGACAATTTTTTTGCCTGACGAACCCTCTCATTCAATGTCTTACATTTACTTTTTAATTTCAGAATTCGAGCTTTTAAAGTTCTCAATTCTTTGGAACATTTTTGTGTTCGAGTGTTAACTGAAAATAGAAAAAAAAATATGTTACAATACTTATAATTTTTTTTGGTACTTATTAAACTGACTTCTATTTAATAGCATTATTCTCCTTTATAAATCTCTACATTGTCCTCTGGAATTGCTGTGGTAGAGCCATGCTACAGTTATATTTATAATATAATTGTAGCGTGAATGGGTCGGCTCGACCGGAGAAGGACCACTCTCTCACAGAATACTTACGTAAAATAGCAGCTTAACGCTGCTGTGTTTCATAAGGTGAGTGTAGAGAACCGGAGACCCTTTTTACTGGAAATGAGGCGTTCCATCTTAGTCCTCACGGGTGACAATGCATCTGCAATTTGATTTATAATAGAGGATAGATGTAGATGTCTATGGACCGCAGCAACCACTTACCATCAAGTGGACTGTGTGCTCGTTTGTCACCCTTATCCTATAAACAAAAAAAAATTGCTAAGTTAGCCATCACCAACGCGTATCTGAAACATACTATCCCTAGCCACCATTCGATGTAAGCTACTGTAAATACAACTCAGCATGGTAGTTATTTTTTTGTATCTACATTTGTATATTCAAGCAGTAACTTTTTTTTAAATACAAAAAATGATGTTCCAACATTCACTACCAGGACTTCTCCCCCTTTTTCCTTCTCAGAAAAGCTGCATTAAGAACACAGGGTGCGTCTTCCTCCATGGCTTCTAACTCCCCTAGCGTAACGGACCCCCACCCTCCCGGGTCCGACACGCAATAATCAATCATGTATATACACATATTGAATATATATATATATATATATATATATATATATATATATATATATATATATATATACACCTAGTTGAAATAAAATATTACTATTTTTAAAATATTTACCTCTAGGAAGTAGTTTTTGTTTCGGATATGGCAACTTGAAAGGCTCTAAGTTGTCTCCTATTTGCATATCAATATCCATTTCAGTCTCAACAGAAGATGATGGTTGAAGCACTATTGGCGAAGTTGAAGCTAAAAAAATTAAAACAGTAAATTTGTTTTAAGTTGTACTATCAAATAAGCCCTTTGAATAAATATGACCCTATTATATTTATATATCAAACTAGCTGTAACCGGTGCGTTGCTGCCACAGAAGAAATAATTGTGAAATAATATTGTTTTATATGTAGAAGAGTTATATTGTTTAATTAGGAATGATAATACATTCATTGTAGTTGAATGCTATATCTTTAAAATAAAGAAGAACAGTCATCTGTGACCCAGACCCGACAGACATCCAGCGGCAGTAGAGGTCAGAAACAATAATACTTTAATCAGGTGCAGAATTCATTCACAACACGTTATGACAAAATGTTATATTATTTTTGTTATATTACGCAGCTGAATTATGTAGTTTAAAAATTACATAATTCAGTTTCATCTCCAGGTCACCTAGATACATCCCATAGCTATTTTAACGTCATTTAGTTGCATACATTAACGAATTTTGTAGATAAATAGCCATTTTGTATTTTTTTAGACTAACACCTGAACAAAAACATAAGGCGATATTTTGGTGTTAGCCATTGATTTCCAATATAAAAATTATATAATTTAACTATATAAAAAAAACTGAGATGTCTCGTTTCTGTCGGGCCTGGGTTTTTTTTTCTATGGGATGTGACTGTTCTTTTTTGCCAGTGCAATACACGTGCCACCTACTGTAAATTAATTGCACTATTTGTACAACCTTCGCACAAGTGCAAGCAATAAGTTGACAAAATTTCAGCACAATCTGATGAACAGTATGGCTGCACATAAAATATGAACAAATAAACATTAATTTTTATATATAAGATAACGCTTATTTTGATAGGTGAGTCATGAGTTGAGATAATGACAATGATCTAATAAGTGTTAGCTAGCTAATGTTTAAACATTATTACAAGAGCTTGCTGAAACCTTAACTAACTTCTACCAACAAAAGAACAATGTGCATATCAATATAACCCCTCAACAGCAGTATCAATAAATTAACAATTTTATTTATATACATTAACAAATTTAAAAATATATGTATATGTATAATATATAATACCGCGGGGAGTAGGACTATATGATAATTAAGTTTCTAGTTTTAGTTTTTTTTATTATTATTATAGTTTTTAATATTGTATATTTTAAAATATCAATAATATATATATATATATATATATATATATATATATATATATATATATATATATATATATAAAGTCAGGAAAAAGTTTCTTCGTATTTTATACACAAATTCAAGACAACGTTTTTTTTTTTTCAAAGTTCAATTACATTTAATTATAACATATATGTGCCATTTTGTTTGATAACTTGTTGCCATCTTGTAGGTACTGACATAATCCCATTGATGTAGAAATCTGGGGATTTCTGATTTTTGATTAAAAAATGCGACAATTAGTTTTGCATCTGCATTTTGATTCATAATCGAAGATAGATATAGATGTCTATGGGCCACAACAACCACTTACCATCAGGTGGACTGTGTGCTCGTTTGTCACCCTATCCTATAAAAAAAAAGCTTCACAAAGGCTAGTTTTTATCTCAGAAGTTTAGTTTGAAGGCCAGTTTATTCCTACAGGAATCAAAAATACCTTAATCCATGCATATCAAGTTGCGGGCTTCATCTTGATGTTTAATAATTATATAACAATGTAAGCAAACATTTGGTACAAACTATAAATGACTGAAAATTTATTTAATTTTCATATTTCTGTCATGCTTGTTATTTAGAGAAGTATAAAATGCCTTGAGCAAGTTAGAGGTACTTACATAAGTTCAAAGTTGGTACTGCATTTCCGGTGAGTCGTTTACTTGCAGAACGGTAAAATTCCTCAAAGTGACAATCACATATTCTTATATTGTTAAAAATGAACGAATCTCCTTTTGTTTTCACATCTTCATTCAAAACCATTTTCCACTGTTCGAATTTCTCCAAATTTGGGTATTCTGGTTTCGGGAATTGGTGAAAAGGACCTGAAACTTTTATATAGTAAGTTTTTATTGACACAAGACACGATAAATTGAATACCAATTTGCTACTAGTATGGTACGGAATATTTTAGGGTTCCACAAGCACTGTTGGGGAACTCTTATTTAATTTTCGAACTTCAAAGATTAATGATCATACCTTCAGTCGCACATCCAAAATAACACTTTATTGCTGATTTTCTCGGCATTTTATACAAGTTGCGGTAAACAAAGTCCAGTAGTGAAAAGCAGGGTTGATAAGTTGGCAGCAGCAGAGTCCAGTTGGCAAGAGCAGGGTCAATCGTCAATAGCAGGTAACACGGGCACAGGGGATAAATCAGGTCAAACGTTCAAAGAAGATACAACAAAAACAAGAAACAAGCGCAAACCAGGTCCAGAATTTTCAAATAACACAATAACGTAATTTCGCAAGCAAGAGCACGATAACGGAATTTATTTGAAAGAACTGTAAACAAAGTAGAATATTTACGTGTCAACCACAACCATAGACCAAAACTGCCATAGATTTAGTTTTTCTTGGGCTTTGGATTCTGGTGTTTTGGCATAATTAACGCCATCTCTACAACGCTGAAGAAAACTAGCGTACAAGTTTATGTACCTGGTTCACTAGAGGGCAGTACTTTCAATGCATTTTTTATTCTTGTAAATTTGTATGTCAGTTTTATCCCCCTGTTAGAAACGCGTCAACGCTTGTACGAGTCGAGCGTGTGACAAAAAGCGCCTATACGCGCCTTCATGCGCTCCCAAAAACGAGCTCATACGCGCGTATAAAACGCTAGTCTGAAACCGCTCTTAGGATACTTTACAGCACCAGCAACCAGGGGGTACTGAGATGTTTGTCGTCCCAATGTCATTGTTAGCCCGGCTACCTTCAGTTTTTTTAAATTTATTTTCGGTCCGCTCTACGCAGAACCAGCTTGCCGTATCTTGAAGTCTTGCAGTAGGTACGGTACTTGGGTTTGGGTTTAATTTTTTTAATTATAGGATCCCAACAAAAGAAGACAGCACCCACCCATCTTCTCTATTGAAATTAGGATGTTTTTAATTTCAATAGTCTCGCGTATCATCCTTGGTTGGAATCGGTGTTCTTTTGCGAGGATTTGTGGTTTATCAAATCTGATGTAATGGTGGGGACGATCTTGAACATGTTCACAGACTACAGACTTCCCAGAGCGTCGGTGTTTCATGTCAGCTATATGTTCTTTCACGCGGGTTTTTATGGATCTTTTTGTTTGAACTATGTAAGAGAGACCACATTCACAATCTAACTTGTACACTCCTGCAATTGTAGAAGGATATTACACCTGACGGATGTCCGGCTTGTAGTATTTTTTAATGGAAGCTCGCTTCAAGATGTAGCCAACCTTGTCTGTGACTCCTCTGACATACGGCAGTACAAAAGGCAAACGCTCGACTGTGGCCAGCTTCACTTGGTCACTGTGACTTAGGCGTGGGACCCGAAGCTTGTTGTCTTACAACTTGCTTACTTTACTTGCTTTACGTGATGAAGCTCGATGTTTTCTGTCACAGATCCCTTGTGCTCTCTGAAACAAAAATTTACCCACGGTTGCTAACTATGAAGGACAAAGGTGAGATTCCCTATTTAAATGTCGGTTGATATGTGGTTTTTTTCCTATACATAGTGTGACCAGTAGTGTTATCAGAATTTTGAATACCTAAAACATCTAGGAAAACTAAATAATTATTAATCTAACACCATTTTGAATTGTATTTTAGAGTTTAGGGAGTTAAAGTGTGTATTAAATATAAAGTTTAGGACCATAATTTCAAATCTAAAATAAATAAAATCAACGCTAATAAACTATCACGTGGCTATCATTCAGATATTAAATGAAACTAATTTTAAGGATTACCGTGTAGTGGTGGCGTAAGAAAATCCACTACTCCATAAACTCCCGTGGGTGTCGTAAGAAGCGACAGTAAGAAAGAAATCAGGATACTAACAGCAGCGTTTTCCTATTACTACGACTAAATTAAAAAATGAAAATAAACAAAAATGCGTTTGCCAACCCACTTGCTAGGCGTGGCAAGGTAGAGGCAATCTATAGGGGAGTTCTAGGTTTAGCAGTGGACTTTAATAGGCTGTAACGGTAATATTAGGGATTTCTTCACTTTTAGTTTTTTAACTGTTTAATTCCCGACTTATCGATATATGTATTATTCTTTGAGGTATGTTATTTACATTCGTTTTCATTGTTTTATATATAGCGTTAATGATTGTAGAATCTCATTTCGGTTAACTCCGGTGGATATAATTACATCAACATTCATCAAAAGTTCCCGCCTGTTGGAAAAATTTGGATTTTGTTTTTTGAATTAGAATTTCATCAGGCAATTACATCGTTTTTTAATAAAACTGCAAAGACAATTGAGCTTACAGTACACCTGATTGTAAGTTGTTACTGCAGCCCATGAACTCCTGCAACCAATTTCAAACAAAATAGAAGGTTACACATTCGTTGTCACCTCTGAGGACTAAGATGGAATAACTCTCGTCCTGAAATTATACTGGCCCTCTTAACCCTTCAGACCGGAACACAGCAGTGCACGTACGTGCTGCTTGATGGCGGAAATAGGTAAGAGGGCGGTACTTACCAGATGGACTGATGGGCAGAAAAAGAATCCTACTCTATATAAAAATTGCTTACTGACATCCTAATAATATTTGTTGCAAGATTACTTTTTAAATAGAAAAGGCAAATAAAAGGAATCCATCACCCCTATTTCGACCCGTGTTTATCGTTAAAGGCTTATGGAAATATCAGGAAGATTTTGTGACCAGTAAAATTTATGATGGATACCCAGACCGGCGAAAACAAGCAACATAAAAGGTGCGATGCGATTCCAAAGCCAAAATTTTTAAACTTGATCTTTAAATAAAATGTAGTCATTAAGCTGCGCCATCGTTTCAAAGAGTCTCTACTGCGGAATACTGTATGAGAATTAGTGAAAGAAACTTACAAGTAGACTATTTGGCTACCAATAGTTACAATATTTATAAAATATATAGAAAAGTAGAACAAAGTAAGCTCATTATATCTTCTCACGTATTTTTATATTTTAACAATAATAATAATAATGAGTTTATTTATTAAGCTATCAACCCACTTATGTCTAGTACATTTTTGCATCTAAGGCAAATAAATGCAAAATTACTAATTAAACTCTAATAAAAGTTAAAATATATATAAAATTACTTAGAATAATTGTTCATAACCTATAGCATCCCATGCCAGTGTTTATAAAATATATTATCAGGAGACACCTGAGCAACTTAACTAATTCGTTTGTTGAGTTACGTACAGTTTCCTTGAAACTGGCCGTTCTACAACGTAACACTGCGTAAAAGTCTGGGACGGCAGCCTCTGCGAACATTGTGGACGCACTGCAGTACCGTTGATGTTTAAAAAAAAATACGAAATGCATCATTATATTGTACTCTGAGGATGGTATAGGACTTTTTGGTGTAATTTATCCAAAGTTGTCCGGTGTAAAAGCTGATACAATAGGCTTTAAACAGAGTAATCTTAACATCTTCAGAACACGAGGCAAAGCGACGCGCCAGCATGTTACAATGTATAGCTAGAGCCCTACGTTCACGCTGAATATCCAAGTCGGTTACTCAGATTCTCCAACATATGACCCAAATACTTGAAATTCTTCACAGTCCGTACCTGCACACCATTTAACACTTGCGGCAATCTTCTTGGAACCTTTCCAACAGGAAAGACTAGCATTTCAGTTTTAGACTCCTTATATTTTAATCTATGCTGACGAACATAATTTTCGCAGATAAATATAAGCTTTCTAAGACTGTTGATCTTTGAGCTAAGGAGCACCATATCGTTTGCATAGCTAAATAAATATTAGTTAAATAAATACTATAACATGCTTGCCTTAGCAAAGGCAAAACACCCACCTAAAATGAACTTGTATCTGTACATAGTTTAATAAAATACAGTGTCTACATATCTAAAGTTTTATTGTTTGCACTAATTTCTTCGTTTCCTATAAGAGGACCTTAATTAAACAAAAATTTATTGGCCACTTATAGGACTTCTATGTCCTTTATATCCTCTCTCGGTTCAATAAATCTCGCATTGTTATCCCGTAGCGCAAATATGAGCCTGCTCAAACATTACATTTTATGTTCTGTAAATAGATGGAAATCATGATTGTATTTACACAAAACTGAATTATTGCATACTTTTCTTAGCAAATGAAACGAAAACACTAATTCTATGATACAATAATAAATGGATATAAAGAGAATAAAATTTGAAACGAAGCTACTGTATAACATCATGCGCAATAAGCTGTGACGCAATTTCTCCAGATAATGTGACTTTATGACACTCGTAGTTACTGTGCGCAATCTATAACGTTGACGGTAACAAGATTTTGTAGCTACAAGAGTCTACGTGAATAGCAAAGAATAGAAAATACTACTCAACTACGTCACATGGAAATAAAATTTGATATAAAATTAAGAGCTACTTTGAAAATCGTTATTCCATTATTTTTATTTAGTTTGGATCAAAATGTACTGATCTCAACGAAAACATATGTAATTGTGAAATATTCAGTAGAAACAATATTTAGCGTTGTCAAGAGATCTGAATGAGTGACAAACAGTATAGTAGTTCCTTAAATTGCAGCTATAGGAATTAATTTACCACCAAAGTTAAGAAATGCAACTTCGTAGTCTTCAGTCAGTAATCAGTTTAAAACTGGGCATGTACAGTTACGTAAAGTACTATTCAAAGTGCTTTTTTCTTGATAAATCATTATTTTCTTAAAGAAAATAAAAAATTCTGCCCCATTGTTTTAAACCTCAAAAATATTTCAAAATAAAAATCACACCCATGTTTCACTTCAAGGAACCTATTTCATGTAAGCGTTAAAATTACTACTCTTTTTTATAGCATTGGGTAACAAACGAGCACACGGTCCACCTAATGGTAAGTGGATGCTATGGCCCATAGACATCCACATTTATCCATAGTCAAGAATCAAAATGAAAATGCGTTGTTACCCTTGATTCTCCTCGTGCCTCGATTCCAGTAAAAAGGGTCTCTGGTTATCTACACTCACTATATGAAACACAGCAGCATTACGCTGCTATTTTATGCTAGTATTCTGTGAGAGCGTGATCCTGGCCCGGTCG